TGGCCCTTCCTGCGACCTGTCTAGGCCCTTTTCTCTGCAGGTGTCTGGGCAGAGAGGGATAAAAGGACAGACTCTAGAGCAACAGGGAGGAAGCCAGGGTGCCGTCTTAGTTCCGTTTAGTTGTCTGAGGTGTGCTATGCCCGGCACCGAGCACACCTTGTGGGCCACCCATCCCCCTGACAAGGGCTTCAGGTACATCGGTACCTTGGAATTTGCCTCTGAGTGCCCTTCAGGCCCGAGGATTTCTGTACCTAAGTGAACAGAGCAGCTCGTGCGGAGCCAGTTAGGAAGAACAGGACCCGGAGTGGGGAGAAGCAGGCGAAGAAGTGGGAAGCGGAGGAGCCAGGGGCAGCACAGGGCCTGCAGGGCGTGGGGCGCCACGTGGAGAGGGTGAAGCCTGGGGGGCGCTGGGAGGACTGGGAACTGGGGTTCTATCCTGGGTAGGTGGAAGCCACAGAATGCCTTGAATACAAGGGCTCACCTTCCTGGCCAGTTTCCAAAGGATCCAGGAAGAACCGGACTGGGAGACCAGTCAGGAGGCCGAGGGCACGTCCAGCTCACTGTGGGGTGGAGGCCCATGACTCCCAGGGGCCCCCCGACCGTGCTGGGGCTCCAGCTTCTCCCTCTTGAGCCTCATAACAGGGCGGGCTGGGCCAGCCAATGACAGAGAGGTTACAGTGGTAACCCCACAGGGCCGACTACACAGTTCCAGCCTCAGACCCAGCAGCTTGGAAATCATGCTGGCGTGTGTGCATGCATGCCCAAAGTCCCCAGAGAAGAATGGAGAAGGGATTACAGGTGGCCATCCCCCAGGGGCTGATTTATTTCTCTCGCTCTCTCTCTGGCAAGTGCATATGCCCTATGGCAAAAAAAAAAAAAAAAAAAGAGCAGGGCAGGTACACAAGGCATGGTGGCAGGACTGGCAGGGGAGTGTGGCACCTTCTCTGCATGCCATGTGACCGCCGTCAAGCAGAGCACACTCGAGCACTGTGTTCAGGGCCTCCACGGTTTTCTCCTGTGAGGATGGCTTACCGAACTTATGCAGGCACTCATACTCCTACTGCCCAGTCACACAGGCCTCTGGGGCATGTTGTCCTCCTCTTATTCGCATAGGAAAACCATTCAGAAAGGTGAGGTGGGACCATGGATGCAATGAGTATCTGGGCGTGGTGCCGGAACAGTGACAGCGGCAGTTAATCCTCCCAGTCCCGCTGTGTGGCCGTCCCCTCTTATGGAGGAGCAGGCCCAGGTCTGGGAGGGATCCAGCAGGTGTTGGTTCCGGGTCTTTCTGGCTCTAACGCCAGTGCTGCTGCCAAATGCTCGGATCCAAGAAGCTCTAAGGAGCAAAGGGTGGTGGGCAGAGGTGAATGCCCTCCTCAGCCTTCCCCTCCCACGGCCATCCTTCCTGCCTCAAGAACCCAGGTGGATCGGGACCAGCAGTTGGCATAATGGCTGTGTTGCTGGACTCCCACGTAGTCGACCGCGGTTCGTGTCCCGGACCCGGTGGCTTAAACTCACGCCGGGCGCGTGTGCGTGCATGCCCAAGATCCCGAGAGGAGAATGGAGGAGAAGGGATTGCGGCGTGACCATCCCCCGGGGAGGTGGGGGTGATTTCTCGCTTCCTATCTCTCTGTCTCTCTCTGTCTGTCTGGCAAGCACATGCGCCCTATAGCGAAAACCTCTCCAAAGAAAAAAAAAAAAGAACCCGGGTGGATCCAGACACCCCAAGAGCCTGCTGTAAACTCTTCCCTCTCGGCCACCTGGACCTCTCGTGGGCAGAGGCTGACCCACAGCCAAATCAGTCATGGTGCAGGCCAGAGATGCATAGTCACTTCCCCAGGGCACGCGCGGGCCTCCTGGCTCCCGCCCAGCTCGCAGCCGGCCCACAGGGCGGAAGCACAGACACACACAGCTGCACTCTCAGCCCGACAACTTGAAAGATTTCAGCAGCTTCCACCAGATCAGGGTTTGATTTCTTGTTTTTAAAGAATTTATTTTATTTGTTTTGTTTTGGTTTTGTCTTTTTAATTTGCTGTAGGGTACATGCACTCACCAAAGAGAGAGAGAGAGGAAGCAAGCAAGCGGCCAGGTCTGCCACTCCAATCACAGTCAGCTACGTAGGAGTCCAGTGCCTTAACCACACCACCACCTGCTGGCCTCAGGCTTTGGTCCTTTTTTTTTATATAATTATTTACTTTATTTTTTATTATTATTTTAATTTCCTATAGGGCTCACCGGAGAGAGAGAGAGAAAGTGAGAGAGTATGCCACCAGGTGTGGGAGTGACTCAAACTGTAGTTGACCATGTGGGAGTTCACCACCTTAACCACCACACTACGTGCTGGTCCCAGGGTTTGATTTTTTTTTTTTTCCTTCTCAAGAGAGACTTTTGTTTTAGGGTGCATGCGCTCGCCAGAGAGACAGAGACAAAGCAAGAAATCACCCCCTGGGGGGATGGCCACACCACAGTCCCTTCTCCTCCATTCTCTCAGCATCTTGGCCACGCATGTACATGGGCCCGGCATGAGTTTGAAGCTGCCGGATCTGAGACTCGAACTGTGGTTGACTACTTGGGAGTCCAGTGACATAACTGTTATGCCATCTGCTGGTCCCGGGTTTGATTTCTTAAACCCAGGTGGAATCACCTGCTGTAAGGTGCTGAATTCTGACGCACCACCTCCGTGGGCCCCCAGGATTCAGAGCAGAACTCACAAACCCCGCAGCGGTGATGAGCGTACCGCGTGGCAGTTCGTTCATTTGCTTGTTTGTTTCTTCTTCCCCAAGTGAGACGGCACCCCGACAGAGTCCCACAGCACAGCACCCCCAGCGTCACCCAGCCCCAGGCCACGGACATGCATGCACCTGGCATGTTCGGAGGTCTCCAAGCACACACCCAGAACCCTCCTATGTGGGCCAGCCCCCCAGCTGTTGCTTTACCTTCTGCACCACCGTCTGGCCCCAGCATGCCAGTCTTCAGTTCCTGCACTTCCTAGAGTGCCCGCGGTGGGCCAGGCCCTGCCCTGGGTCTGTGTAGGGCGGGCACAGCAGTCCAGCCCGGCCTCCAGGCTCCCTCTGCCCCCTCCCTCCGAGGTCCTGGGAACCTCTGCCATCAGTGAGCACGAGGGGATGGGATCAGGCAGTCTCTAAAGCCTGGGTGCCTGTCAGAAGCCCCTGGGTCTGCGGGAAGGGCTGAGAAGCTCCGTTCTCGGTAGTGCCCAGCCAACACAGAGCTCTGGAGTCCCCAAGCTGCTGTGGTTCTCCCCACAGTGAGTCCCCCTCAGCTGTCTCCTTCATCCCCGTGGGCCTGCCGCCACGCCAGGCCACACATACACCTCTCAAAGTGGCAGCAGGGCTCCCGACCCAGCCCTCCCTGCTGGAGAAGGCCCTGCCCACTGGTAGCCCCAGCCCTCCCGCCCCTGCCGTCAGCATCACTCTTTCTCACCCAGATGGGAGGCGGCAGCGAGAAGAGCCTCAGTGACTGGATGGTGAGACAGGGCATGGTGAGCAGGGGCCTGGCCCGGAGAGCTGGGCTGCTACTGGCAGGGCTCTGCCCGGGTGGAACATGGGGCCACGGTGCTGCTGCGGGCGAGGGCGTGGGAGAAGACCCAGAGGAGAGACGAGGGGCGGCGAGGGCCCTGCTGGGCGCCCTGGCTCCCACTGTTCTTGGTCGGCCTAGCAGCGCTCAGCACGGCCGCTCCGCTCCACTCTGTCTACAGCCCCTCTGGGCCTGGTTCTGTGCCTGACTCGGGCCAGGCAGGGCGAAGGTGCGCGGGAGAGGGAGCTGGTGTGGGCACCCGAGAACTCGCTGCTTCTGCTGCTGCTGGGAAATGGACCCCCGCCTTTCCTCTGGGCCTGCGATGCCAGTGGGGCCCTTGGGCTGGATAACCATGGGGACGGAGCTGGTGCGCGTAGGGGAGACTGGGCCTCTCTTCCCGGGAGTGGCTAAGCCGCTAAGCCGACACTGACACGCGGCACCTCCCTGCTGCTACTGTAAGGAGCTTCCCACGCGGGCCCC